GCCTAGGATTGTAGCTATCTAGCATCCTGGTCATCGGGTGCTTGACATATTCTGCCAACTTCGACTCCCCCGCCCATACTAGATTTGCCAACACCGCGCCTTTCCGTGCGTCGCCAAACACAATAATCTTCCATGAGCCTGCACAAAGCAGGGCCTTTACCTCCTTTGCAACGCATCCCGCCAGAGGCTGAGCCGGTTCGTGGAATAAAGCTAGTCTTTATAAAAGAAAAGAAAAATATAATCAAACTGAAAACTATAGAAAACTTAACCACCCCTATGGCTTGACGCCTTCCGTCGGCTTAGTGTCGCCGCTGTCTTAGACAACCATCTCACAGTGCAACGCAATAATGCGTGCCCCACACACTCTCTAATTCAATCGTATTTGACTCGGAGACTTGCCAAGGGCGAGGCTGCCGAGGTGAGCGCCCTAACGGGTTTTACCTTATCAACGTGTTTCGTTGATCAAAGATGCACCCAGTGCGACTTTTAAAAAGGACGGCAAATACCCTTGTAAGGGTGTTTGCTACGACAGTCCTCCCAGACCCCATTAAGCGACGTCCCTGTCGCTTTGGGTAAGTGTTAGAAAGTATAAGCGAAACCACAATCAAATGCATTGACTGAGCAGATGGATAACCAAATCCGTATAATCGAAAGGACTCAGCTTGGGGTTTGGTACTCTAGTTCTGAGGCATCCCTATGGCGAGCAGGAGTCCAACCTGCACCTCCTGTCTGACTCACACGGATACTTCTGTTATACTACCGCCCTAGGTTAGCTTCAGTGCTCAAATACCAGCCCCTTCCGTTTGTCCTAGACGCCTTCCAGTTTTCGTTGGGTGTCGTTTGAATCGGGCTGTCAAGTAACCGTCATCTTCGGGCGCGAGTTTTTAGGCAAGACAACTGCCCTGAGTGGGACAAACTGCAGCACACAACAAGCGCAGGTAGCTCACCCCTCTAGAGTAGCTTAAGCTAAACCAAGGTATACCCCTCTGGGTAGCTCATCCTGCAATCGAAATAAGTAGCATACTCCTCTGAGTGGCTTATCATATAAGAGCACACCCCCTTGAGCAGCTCAATTTGTGACAGACATAGTGCTGCACGTAGCTCACTCCATGTAATTAAATCAAAACTCAACCCGACCCTGCGTCTAGTCATAGGTGGGTTATAGTCCTGCCCTCAGCCCACCATAGTTTGGATGATCGGGCCAAACCACGGTTCATCGTGCCATTAAGCCACGATGTTGCCTACGTTGTTTGCACAATGCTATGGCGACTCTCTGACTCTTGGGTTTAAGTACCCCCTAGTAGTCGCCCTAGTTAGAGCGTTTGGAGTGATCCGATATTTGGCTTAATTTAGCCCTCCCATATGATAATAGTAATAATGATAATAGGGATAATAATAAACAATAATAATAATAATAATAGTAAGTAATAAATAATAATAACCAAAAAATCCCCCGCTTATATATATTATCTATGGATGATGGTGCGGGTCACTCCTCTGTCTCTAAGTTCAAGCTAAGCTAGGGGTCTGCTGTCCTGGTTAGGCGGGACAGCAGCCCACGTTGGGGGTTGCCCCAACGATGCCGATTTAGCCCTCGGCTTAGGCCTCCCCAAATACTCTTGAGCCAACTTTCAATGCTTGCAGTCGTTCTGCTTCATCATGACAAATACGACCGCCGACCCTAGAGCCTCACAAACAATTTTCTTTTTCGAAGAAACCCCTCATTTTATATGAACATCTTTTCTCAAGCTCGGTTATCCACTGACAGTTTTCTGCAAAAATCAAAGCTTTATTCATCTCCACGGAACAAGTTATAATCCTAAATTTTTACTTTCATCCCACATACATAAATAGGTGGCTTCTCAAACGGGCCCCCTCCACTAAGACATACGGGTGGCTCCTCAAGCGGCCCCCCTTCCCATCAAACATTTAGGCTGCCTTTCCGATTCAACCTTTTTCCATGCATTTTTGTCGAGCAATTTTTCATTGACTCTCACACACTAATACATATGCAATAAAAGTTAGTAACCATTTTGTTCAATAATCAAACAACTTACTCACAACCACAAACAGATACAAACATCACACATGCAAGGGAAGTGAGCACAAGTCCATACTGTGAGAATATTACATGGCTCCTTGTTTCCTCACAAGACTCATGAGTCTGAATCAAGTTTGTAACACATCTGCGCAATACGCTCTGAATCTCAGTATCAATCATGAAGAAATCGAATGTCTCAAATGGGTATCATAACCCGATTATCCGAGCAATGTCCCTAAAAAAAAATCATGTGTCCCATAAAGACACTCACTAGCTCACGATCCTGCACTAAAAAACCATACTCATTTCAAATGCACACAAATCTCATGCGAAGCTCACACAAAACTCACACAAAGCTCACACAAAACTCACACAAAACTCACACAAAACTGGACCCTCAGGTCCAAAGCAATCTTTGAAACCCCTACTCAAGCCAACCTACTAAAACAAGTAGTCTATCATGTATGTACAGTCGACCAAAACACGTGTCAAATCCAGTCACCAACTACATATAATACACGGCTCGGTCCTGAAGCCTGGGGTCAAAAACTCTCAATATACAAGTCATGAGGTAAACAAGTTCATGCTTTCGAACCCTCAAAGTAGAAGATACTAGTAATATACAACGAGCCTAATGGTCTATCTCCCATAACAATCACCTCGTCCTCATCGACCCTCTCTCTCATCTCATAGTCTGGCATCTCATCCGCCTCGTGGACATGTAATCTGTCACTCATCCTCTCTTAGTTTCAGGCCTAGCTTATCATACACAACTCTCCTAACATCGGCGTCTTATTGGAAGACGACCGCCACGCATATCCCTGACTAGTCCCTGCCCATCGAACTGCACGACTCGCCTCCTGAGGTCATCTTGGAAGGCGGGGCAAGCGACTTTGTCATGCACTCCTCTGTCACACCACGAGCATACGTCGCCGGTGCCGCTGCCCTCTACCTTCGCCTTTTTAGGCTTGGGTTGGATCCGAGGTTGTGCCCTCTCGAGTCGGATTGTCACATTGTGTATGGCCCTATCCACCGTGTCAGGACTCAACATCCTCGAGGCTCTCTCAATCGTCGCCTCCTCGTCACATCTCCCAGACCCTGAAGAAAGGAGGTGCATTATGTCGTCCATCGACCCCAAAACTGGAGCTGGTGTAAGCGGCAGAGTCGCCGGCAGTACTGTTGCTGACCCGCTCGTGTCCTCCTGTGGCATGACGTCTCGTAGCTCTGAAAATCTCTCTCGTTCGTCATGTCTGCCCCCCAATCCTTGCCATGCATCCCTCTGAACTGCCAACTCTGAGGGAGGAACCCAGTCCAAACCTCGTGCCTCTGCCTCTCTCCTGCTCTCGATCTCGTCTGCCTCAAGCATAAGCTTGTCGACGACTGTTGCCTCCTCACATGTCATCCCCATAGCCCCAAGTGGCTCCCCTGTCCGTGAATCTCGCTGAGGGATGTCTAACCTCGCTCCACCTGGCTCTACCTCATGAGAGATGTATGCTTGTCTGATAGGAATCTGTTTCTCCTCAGTCCTCCTCTCGTCGACCACATCTGTCGTGGCCTGACGCCTCCGACGCTCCTCTAGGTCAGTAATCCTCTGCTCGAGCCTCGAGGTGGACTGTCTTGCCTGCTCGGAGCTGGTGACAAGATCACGTACCGTGTCCCTCAGTCCTCTGTTCTCCCGCTCCAGAGCACCGATCCTCTGTACTGCACCCTGAAGCACCTCTCCTCGTGCAACCTCGGTCTGTGTGAGTCTCCTGACATGCTCCATCACTCCCACCAACTCTCGCACTGAGGCATCAGACAACAATCTCGCCTGAAGCCCCTCCTCCGCCTGCGTACGCTCGCCCTCAGGCATAGGATCCTCTCCTGTCCGTCTCCTCATCCTAACCTCCTCCTGCCATCACGCTGTGGCCGAATCCTCATAGAAGAGTCTCTGTGTCTGCTCCTCACTCTCTCGCCGTAACCTGACAAGAGTCGATACCTGACTCTCCAACTGAGATGATCGCACGGTTTCAAGGACAGCCCTGCGCTCGAGCCTATATCTGTCGCGTCAGAAGGTGGCTCATACTCCCTGAGTACCCTCTTAACCTGGGCTCGCCAATCACTCGCCTCTCCTCCTGAATCCTGAGGACCGCCTCGGCCTCCTCTAGAGTCTGGACCTCCTTCCCCTCAACAAATGTACGGAGATCACTCACCACCTCTCTCAGTGCATCGTGCTCCATCTGTCTGTCGCAACTCAACTCAAAGGATTGGATGACAACTCTCCTCGTGTAATCCCGAACCTGCTCTATCGCCTGTCGAGCTGCTACGAGGCCACTACCAATATAGTTCCTCTGCAAGGTTAAGTCGTCATACAGTACCCTGAGCCCACCAGTGGTCTGATCAACCGACAAGTGTGGTCTCGCGGCCTGGCCCAGTCGCTCAAAAGCCAGCCAGCCTGGAAAATGTAATGATGGCATCCGTCCCATCTCCTCGGCTAGCCATGCATCCCTCATGACAGGCTCATGATCTATCGGTCCCCGAGACTCCGGCAAGCTCTCCTCCTCATGAGTCGGAGATGCGTCCTGGGTAGGCTCCGCGCCGACCTCAATGTGGCCCCTCATACTGGCCTAAGTCTGATCACCATCTCTTCGTGGAGTATCCCCAAAGTCTGGTGGTGACGTCTCCACTCGCTGGGTGTGCATGTCCTCCGTGAGACCCTCTCTATCTAGCCCCAAAACCTCGGCCTCAACTCGCTCTGTCTCCATGTCCATGGGCGAGGGTTGGGATACCTCTTGTCTCATCAGCATCCTAGGAAACTCCATGTCATATAGTTGGGCAGTCAATGAACCCTCAGGCTCAGTTGGCTGCTCAACCAATCGACTCTCGCTCAGTAACGACGATCCGTCTAATGATGAGGGTCCCATCGCACCTCTCTCATCATCCTCCACTACCGGCTCTGACTGAGACTAGACCCTCTGCCCATCATGCCCTAGCTCATCATGCATCGACGTCGTCTCTCACGGCCACTCAGGCTGAGGCTCCTCGTGCTCCTACATCGGTCCTATAGTGGCAGACCCTATCATAAGCGGTAGCTCCCATTGTGGGAGGTCTAATGCCATGTCCCGTGTGTCTCTCCATCGATAAGGCCTCTCCGATGCAGTATCGGGAACCACTCCCTCCATGGTATCTGTCTCTGTAGGCCGGGCCGAAGCAGTCGTCAACACAAGCTGTAGGGAAGCCTCATCCCCATCCCGTATGGGTGTAGACAGAGTAGTCCGATCTGTCTCAGGCGCACCACGGTCTCTAACCCCTATCTCAGCCGGACATGTCTCTAGCGCTGACACTGTCCCAATCTCAGGGGTAGATGAATCGTCCTGCCTCTAAGATCCTATCGGTAAGGTCTCCTCCCCCAAATCATCTGTGGAGAGCACCTTCCCAACATCACTATTCAGCACATGATCCCTCTCCTCCAAATCATCCCCTCGATCCTGACGTCCTCTACGCCTGCCTGTCCTAGGCCTGCGTGGAATCTCTGGCTGCTCACTCTCTCTGCTTCTCCCGCGATCGCCCCTCATCAACCTCATCCCTCTCTAGCTGCGCTCGCGGGCGTACCTTGAGCTCCGGGATGTAATCCCCAACCTCTCTGCGCAACCTGCATCGTCTGTCAGCGGTGAACGCCCCTCTTAGCGTCGCTACAAGCTCCGCCCAAGCCCGCACTGTGTGTGACATGGTACTCACCTCATGTCTAAGATCCGGGACAACCTTGTGCTGTACCTGCCTAACCCTCTGCGCCTCGGTCCATCTCTGCCCATCCCCAAAAATGACGAAAACCTCAAGGAACTCATCCAGGTTAGCCCCATCAAACCGCATGGGCTTACCATGTCGATCAATGGGCTGAGGCCGCAATCTCAGCATCCGCCTGGCGAACTGCCTCCAATCCAATGGCTCTCTCACGATCTGAGCCACACGCTCCTCATAGCTGCCCGTACCCCAGACCCTCTGAGTAATCTGACCAAAATCTAATTGAAGGATCCAAACCTGCCTAACCAACCCGTCCAAAAATGAAAATACATGTCCACCCCTGTAACGGAATGGGTCCAGTATCAAAGACGTGGCTAGTCGCTCATCCTCCTGTCCCGCCATCCTCCCGCCCCTCCAAATAATGACCAACTTCGAAACGCCAACCCTGCACAAATAAGAAGGACGAACGATAGAGGAAACAAAAGTAAGCATATGAGGACATGGGAAATGCCTATACTGACTAACCCAAGCAGATCTCTCATACCCTCAGACGACCGACCTGACTCATGAACTAAACTCATACTAAGACTTATCTACATACTAACATACAATCCTATCCTATCACTAATGCAGAGTATCACTTAACAAGACGAGGAATCAGATATTATTCCTACTCTTCTGTCACTCTCACCTTAGTCTCGAGCCTTGAACCTTTTCAGTTTCGACCCCGAGACCCAATCTCTCCACGGCGTGCCGTTAAGTTCTTCAATCTCATAAACTCTGTGCTGCCCACACCGTCTAATGCGATATGGGCCTAACCACCGCTTGTCCAACTTGCGCGACCACTGCTTCTCTAGCGATAAGTCATACAGCAGCACCACGTCTCCGACTTTCAATGGCTCCTTCCTGACTCGTGGAAGGAGATCCTACCTCTCCTTGTCCTCCATTCGACTATCCGATACTCGACCAATAGCTCCAGTGAACAGTCATCGGCAGTCCATCAGAAAATACAGCAGCATCGTTGTTCCGCTGTACAACAACGGTAGTTAACCCGACTTGGTATAGCAGTGATAGCAATCCAAGAGAAAATAGCAGCAACTCCTTGGAACTAGACGACAAGCGGCAGTCGTTTCCACATATGTGGTCCTACAGTAACAACTCAGAGTACCTTCGACTCCTCAACACGTTATGCCTCATTGTTGTCTTGCAACTTGCCTAAATCCGGCCATTAACTCCCACGGCTTCTGGCAGTAATGGTAAGTCAGAATTTGTGGTCCGTAGTTGTTGAGCATTTTCGAAGCAATAGCAACAAAATAAACAGTTCGCAAATTTAAGTCCAACTACCAGCGGCGCTGCCTTTCAAACAGCAGCATCTCATAACTTCAATCTATTGAAAAGCAACAATGACACTTGGTCTTGCCAGCGTTCTGACCCTCCGCTACTATAGAGTTTGTTCATGGGAGAATCCACTACCCTCAGATGCGATTCCCATGAGTAGCAGATGCCCGGTGACTCGTTTAACAAGGACGTAGCCACACTCACTGGCAGCGAGATAATTACCAGCGACAATGTGATTATTGTTGTGATGTTGATGACAACAATTCACCTTTT